CGGAGCCCCTCCCCAACGAAAAGGGTTCCTTCTCCAGCGCCCCGACTGTACCTCGACCTATGTGCCGTGATGCCCGGGAGCCGATTGGAGAAGGGTCTACAAGCCCTTCGGGATCCACCCATCATCCCCTCCCCACTCCCGCCTCCCTCGACCCTCATCCTGATCCTCCCCTCCATCTCCTCGTCCTAGCCCTCCCCCGTCCGCCTCCTCCTCCTCCTCCTCCTCATCCTCTTCCTCCTCCTCCTCCTCCTCCGCCTCTTGGTCCTCATCCCTTCGCCTCCCCGTCTTCCTCATCATCATCCTCCCCCATCGTCCTCCTCCTTCTCCTCCTACTTCTCCTCCTCCGTCTCCCTCTCACCCTCCCCTGCCGCCGTCTCCGCCCCCCGCCCCCGACGCCTCCGCGCTCTCGAAGACGACGTTGCAGGAGGAGTCGTCGAGCCACTCCACCTGCTGGGGGCCGTAGTCTCGGAGCAGGTCCAGCACCTCCCTCGTGGACAGGAAGTCCACCCCGTAGCAGTGGAGGGTATCCGGCCTCGCGGGGGCGAAGGCGTTCGGCTCCCTCCGCGGCGCGATGTGGGCCTCGGAGCCCCCGTCGTCCGCCGCGTCCAGGCTCGGCAGCATGGCGGCCGCCCGCGGCCCGCGGCGCCCCCCGCCGCCCAAACGGCGCGGCCCCTGGCGCACTAGGGGTGCGGGGCCCCTGCGAGCCACGGGGCTGGCAGCGAGCGAGAGCATCCCTGCTGGGGAGAGCAGCGACGTCTGAAAGAGAGAGAGAGAGAGAGAGCGAGAGGGAGAGCGAGAGAGGGAGAGAGAGAGAGAGGACCAAGAGAGAGAGAGAGACAGAGAGCGAGCAGAGAATGCAAGAGAGGAAGCCACCAACATGTTGATGTAGCACCCCGCAGTTGCGGATAAGAGTGAGGGGGCGGCGGGGTCGTCGGCAGTCTAGGAAGTTCTGAAGAAGCCCGTCGAGGGCGCCGGTTTCCAAACAAACTGCACAGCGAGCCCGTCGCAGGCGCCACATTTTCCGTCAAAGCCAGAGGGTGGGTCGCGGGGGGTCGCGGGTGGGTCCCGGGGGGGGTCGCGGGTCGGTCGCGGGTGGTTCGCGGGTGGGTCGGGTCGCGGGGTGGGTCGCGGGGTGGGTCGCGGGGTGGGTCGCGGGTGGGTCGCGGGGTGGGTCGCGGGGTGGGTCGCGGGTGGGTCGCAGGCAGGCCGCGGGCGAGTCGCGGGTGGGTTGCGGGTTGCGTCGCAGGTGGGTCGCGGGCTGGTCGCGAGCCAGGTCGCGGGTGGGACGACAGCAAAAACAGTTGACAGCAATACAACAATCGACAAACAAAGAACAACTACAAGCCGCACCGCGGGACCCCACCTCGGCCACGCACCCATGGACAGTGAGTGACCGCTCGGCCCCCCCCATTCTGACAATACGGGGAGAACGGGAGAGAGACAGAGGGGGCCAAAGGGAAACAAGATAGAGAGAGGGACGCGAGAGAATATGCGAATGGAACTTGAGCCAAACACCAAAATTGTAAATCCTCTGGTGCCTGACTTTGCTGCTACATTAATGCTACAGTCACACTAGCCGATCCTGCTCACCAAGTCGAAATGCTACAATCTAACACCCCGCGACGGCTGATAAGCCGACTATCAAGGCGGGTAACATCTGAATGGCGAAAACAAATGAGTAACGGATGGGTACTAAGCAGGTACGCAGCGCAGCGAACCCAGTGATGAAAGCATAACTGGTGCTAGCAGAAGGCGACTATGATTAGGGCGTTTCGGCCGTCTTGGGATGATTTGGGGGAGCTTGAGGGGCCGTCTTGGAGCGTGGGGTAGCCAGGAAAGAGGGAACGTGGATACAAGATGGAAGGAAAAGCGCAAGATAAGAATGAATCAGCGGTCCTGCATCTTGGAGCGAGGGTGGGGGGGCGCAGCGGGAACAAGGGTTCGATCGAGGATGAAAGTGATGTATTCGAGGTTTGCTTGAAGATCCATCGACGCCAAAGGTGTGACACGCTTTGCGGCGCCACGGTGAAGCGTTCATCGGCAACGAAAGGAATCGGAATGTCCGTCGACCTTCGCACGCCTGTTGCCGTTGACGAGTCACTGCGGCCGCTTTTCGGACCCCAGGGCCACCAAACAACTTGCCAGGACGAAGAGCAAACTCTGGGGAACGCATCGTCCCGAGTTTCCGTCTGCGGTTTCCTCCTCGGTCCCGTTACCGCCCGACTCGTTCCCCATACATTCACCCTCCCCCTATAGGGGGCTTTTCGACGAAAGATAAAAAAAACTAAAATACCCAAAAAAGGTCAGAACATACTCAAAAAAAATCCCCAGACTGTTTTGGGACTATGTTTTGACTATTTGTGTGGTATTCCTTATTTTTCGTCGAAAATCCCCCTGTAGGGGGACAGGCCCGACCTAACCCTAGGGACCCCCTCCCTGTCGCATCACGAAGAACGTGCCTTCGGGGCGAGCTGGGCGACCAGCTCGAGATTGGGTTGCCCAGCAACGACGTAAATGGAAGGGGTGCGTTGTTCAAAGCTGAGAGTTCGCCCCATCGCCGCGTACACTTGTTGAAAAAATTGCGCGGGGGGCGTGGGGGCTTCCTCCGAAATACCACGTTCGCCCGATCACGGGGCACGAGCGTCGCAAAATTTGTAGAATCTACACAGATGGGAGGGGCACGATCTGAAAAATCAAAGTACTGCCTTACCGTCGCGCGCAATCGCCCAGGGAGGTCCCCACAGTCACACGGATGGATGGCAAGCCCCTTTGCAGGATGCGACTCAAGCTGGAAGCATCATCGAACTGACACTTCGAGCCCTCGGCCCCGAAGGGCCCCTCGGGACTACGACTGATCGCAACCACTTCGGGCCGATCGTCGACCACCCCGGACCGATCACAACCAGATGCGATCGGTCCGAAATGGTCGCGACGTTTTCGGAAGGCTTCAAGAAGGTTTCGATCAAGGGCGGGATCATAAGAGCGCTATTGGACGCAGCGAGTTCCCATAAGTCTCCCCAGGGAAACCTGAGAGACAAAAAAAAATGTGTGATCCGTCCCATAGCCGATGGTTCGCCATCTGGACCGTAATATATGCAAAACACATGCACTTGCGCTCGATCGTGGCCGTGATCTCTCGACGCTAGTAAGCCCCAACATTCCTCTTGATCCGCTCGGGGTCCAACGACTCCGCGGGATCTTCCAGATTCCGTATGAATCCCCCGGATGTTTGAAGATGCGCTGGGTATCCTCAGGATTCCTCTGACTGTTCGAAGATTCGTTCGGCATTCTGCAGATTCCCCAAGGGCCCTTGGCATTCCTTCAGAATCCTTGTGTATGAACTGTTGAAAATCTCAAGACTTCCTCTGAATCCTTCAAGATCCCATAAGATTCCTAAGGATTCCTCCGGCTCCCTTTGGATTCCGATGGATTCCTCCGGAACCGTGACGACTCCGCCAGATTCTGGAGGGTTCCAAAGGACTCCTCGAGACACCAAAATCCAAAGGATTCCGAACGATTCCTGAGGAGTCCCAAGGACCCCCAAGGAGTCCGAAGAATTCCTCAAGAGCCCTCCGTAGAAACAGTAGTAGTAGTAGTAGTAGTAGTAGTAGTAGTAGTAGTAGTAGGAGGAGGAGGAGGAGGAGGAGGAGGAGTAGTAGTAGTAAAAATAGTAGTAGTAGTAGTAGTAGTACTACTACTACTACTACTACTACTACTACTACTACTACTACTACTACTACTTACTACTACTATACTAACTACTACTACTACTACTACTACTACTACTACTACTACTACTACTACTACTACTACTAGTAGTAGTAGTAGTAGTAGTCGTAGTGTAGTCGTAGTAGTAGTCGTAGAGTAATAGTAGTAGTAGTAGTAGAGTAGTAGTAGTAGTAGTAGTAGTAGAAGTAGTAGTAGTAGTAGTAGTAGTAGTAGTAGTAGTAGTAGTAGTAGTAGTAGTAGTAGTGGTAGTAGTCGTAAACTTGCTGTAGTAAAGCAGTCGTAATCGTAGCCGTAGTCGTAGTCGTAGCCGTAGCCGTAGTCGTACCCGTACTAGTACTAGGATGACTACTACGACTACAACTACTACTACTACTACTACTACTACTACTACTACTACTACTACTACTACTACAACTACGACTACTACTACTACTACCACTACTACTACGACTATACTACTACTACTACTACTACTACTGCTACTACTACTACTACTAACTACTACTACTAACTACTAGACTACAAGAACTACAACGAACTACAGCGATTATTACTTTTACTTCTACTACTACTACTACTACTACTACTACTACTACTACTACGAACTATACGACTACGACTACGAACGACTACTACTACTTACTAACTACTACTACTACTACTACTACTAGTACTACTACTACTACACTACTAATCTACCTACTACTCGACACGACGACGACTACACTACTACGACCTACTACTACTACTACTACTGCTACTACTACTGCTACTACCACTACTACTACTCACTACTACTACTACTCACTACTACTACCACTACTACTACTACTCCTACTACTACTACTACTACTACTAAAGTTACTACAACTACTACTACTACCACTACCACTACTACTACTACTACTACTACTACTACTACTACTACTACTACTACTACTACTACTACTACTACTACTACTACTACCACTAATCTACGATACAATTACTACTACTACTACTACCACTACTACTACGACCCTACTACTACTACTACTACGACTACTACTACGACTACTACACGACTCTACGACTACTACTACTACTACTATACTACTAAGTCTACTACTACACATACGACTAACTACTACAAAACTACTACTACTACTACTACTACGACGACTACTACGACGGTTACTACTACTACGACTACTACGACCGCTACGACTACTACTACTACTACTACTACTACTACTACTACTACTACTACTATTACGACTACTCTTACTACTACTACGACTACGACTACGACGACTACTACTACTACTACTACTACTACTACTACTACTACTACTACTACTACTTCTACAACGACGACTACTACTACTACTACTACTACTATTACTACTACTACTACTACTACTACTACTACTACTACTACTACTAGCAGTGCCAGCAGTAGTATTTGTGATAGCAATAAGCTATAAAACTAAACAATAAAACACGAGAGCGAATGATGGTACTAGTAGTCGTAGTAGCAGCGGGAGTAGTAGTGGAAGTGGCCATAGTGCGAGCAGTAATCGTACGAGTACTAGTAGGCGTCGTCGCAGTAGTGGTAGGGTTGGTAACAATAAGAATAATACTAGTAGTAGTAGTAGTAGACATAAAATAGTAGTCGCCGTCGTAAACGCAATCGCAGTCGCAGTCGTAGTCGATCGCAGTCGTAGTCGTAGTTGTAGTAGTAGTAATAGAAAACGTAGTCGTAGCCGAAGTAGGGGTAACACTAGTAGTAATAGTACTGGTAGTAGTAGTAATAACAATGAAAGTGGGTGTAGGAGCAGTCGTGTAGTAGAGGTCGTAGTAGTCGCAGTAGTACTACATGTATCAGTCGTACAATCAGCAGTAGTGGTGGCCGATGTACCTGTACCCGTTGCGATAGCAATAATACTCGTAGTAGTAGTAGCAGTAGTGACCGTAGTAATAGAAGTAGTAGTAGTAGAAGTAGTAGTAGCGGCAGTAGCCATAGTAATAGTCGCAGTCGCAGTCGCAGTCGCGGTCGCAGTCGCGGTAGTAGTGGTCAAAAAGATAGCGTCGTAACGTGCGCAGCAGTACTAGTCGTAGCAGTGGTAGAAACAGAAATAGTGACAGCAGTAGTGATAGCAGCAGTAGTACTAGCAAGCGCAGCAGAAATTGTAGCAGTGGTAGCAGCAGCTGTCTGAGTCTTTTTGGTCGTGATAGCAATGGTGAGACTAGAAATAATAGTTAACAGTGGCAGTACTAAGAGTAATAATAGTAGTGGTAGTAGTAGTAGCCGTAGTTGTCGTAGTAGTAGTAGTAATGGCAGTAGTACTAGTACTAGTTGTAGTAGTGGTCGACGTAGTCGTAGTAGTAGTAATAGTAAAAGCGGCAGTAGTAGTAGTAAAGGTAGTAGTAGTAGCAGCAGCAGCAGCAGTAGCAGTAGTGGTAGTAGTAAGAAGAGAAGTAGTAGTAGTAGTAGGAGTAGTAGTAGTAGTAGTAGTAGTAGTAGTAGTAGTAGTGGTAGTAGTGGTAGTAGTAGTAGTAGTAGTAGTAGTAGTAGTAGTATAGTAGTAGTGATACTAGTAGTAGTAGTAGTAGTAGTAGTAGTAGTAGTAGTAGTAGTTGTAGTAGTAGTAGTAGTAGTAGTGGTAGTAGTAGTAGTAATAATACTAGTAGTAGTGAGTCCGAGTCCGAGTCGTAATAGTAGTAGAAGTAGTAGTCGTCGTCGTAATAGTAGCAATCATAGTAGTAGCAAAACTAGGCGCGATCGTAGTAGTAGTCGTGCTAGTCCGCTCGAGGCCTCATGAGTCCTCGGGATCTCGTGATTTATCATGAGCCCTCAGGGTTGCCCAGGAGTCCTCTGGATTCCTCAAGAGTTTTCAGGAGCCCTCAAAAATCCTCAGAAGTCCTGAGGAGGCCGCAGGAGATCTCAGGAGCGAAGCTATTCACAAACTCGCCAGAAGCTCTTCAAAAGCTCTTCGGAAACTCTCTTCGCGGTTGTAATCCGGTGTCCCGTTCGTAGATTCGTGCGGGAATCCTTTAAAATGCGAACAGTCCATTTCCAGTGGTTGTCATCGGACCGAAGTGGTTCGTGAATGATCCGAAGTGGTTGGAACCGGTCTCAGTCTCCTCCCAAGAGGCCCAAGAGGCCCCCAAGAAGCACCCGAAGAGCCCCCCGAGAGGCCCCAGGAGGCCCCCAAGAGGTCCCAAGAGGCCCCCCAATGGCCCCCAAGAGGTCCCAAAACTGCCCACAAGAAGCCCTTGAGAGCGCTTCGAAGAGACCCAAAAGAAGCACCCCTGAGAACTCTCACTCACAACCCAGGCACGGTGGCAGGATTGGCCGAAAGCCACTAGATGTCCCTGTGCTGCTTCTGATTTATCTGCTCCCCAGCATATTCCCCAACACAATGTAGACGCATCACCATTGACACAAACTTCAGTTGCTGCTTGTCGATGTGTTTGCACACTTTTTGACTTGGAACCCATGCCGAACTCTTCGCTCTGAAAATTTAGTGGGCGAGCGAATGTTGTGTCTGTTGCCCGACCTCCGTCGGGATGAGCCTATTCGAAAGGAACTTCGCATGCTTCCAATACGACTTTCTGATGGCGGCGAACGTCTGACCGATGTCTTCACACAAACTGCCTGTCGCATGAATGCGCGGCCCCAACAATCGGGGGCGTTCTGGCGCTCTTGGGCCCTCAGGGGACGAATGGGGGCGAACGGGGGCCATCGTGGTGCCGTCTCGGAGCGTTTTTGGCACTCGCCTGGGCCTCCTTGACGCAATCTTGGCCGTCTTCGTGCGCGATCTCAGAAAAAAAAAAAAAAAAAAAAAAAAAAAAAAAAAAAGCCCCCGCTTGTTTGTCCGTGCCAGCGCTGAGCTGGTCCCCAAAAGATGATATCTCCGACATCAGTGGGGGCTACCAGCGGCCACGAGCCCGAGAGCGACTCTGCACACGGCCGTCGGCAGGTGGCCCCTTCTCGGCCCGCCTTGCAGGCCTCCTGGGCCGTCTCGGGGCCCTCTCCAGGCCTTCTGGGAGGCTCCCCGCAAGGAGGTGAACAAACCTCCCAGTAGTGTCATCGGGGTGGGCGGGGCCCTTTTGGGGAGACGGTATTTGTTTTATAGCATTGGTATTACGTGTACGTACATACATACATACATACATACGTACATACATGCATGCATGCATGCATGCATACATACATACATACGTACATACATACATACATACATACATACAGACAGACAGACAGACAGACAGACAGACAGACAGACAGACAGACAGACAGGCAGGCAGGCAGACAGACAGACAGACATACAACAGTAGATACTTAGAAAGAGAAGGAGAACGAGAAGCAACAGAGAGAGAGAACAGGAGAAGGGAGAGAGATAAAAGGGTAAACAGAGAAAACAGACAGGTAAAGGGAAAAAATGAGAGAGATGAAAAAAAAGAGGGGGGGAGAAAGAGAATGCGCGCGCACGAGAATCGGAACCACTCCCGAGGTACTCGCCCACGGCCAGCTCGGGGCACTTCCGGCCAGCGCCGAGGCGGCGAGGGGGTGGAGCGCATCCGCCGCGCCTCCTCCTCCACGCCGCCCGAGGTCTGGCGCAGCCCGTGCGCTCGACATGGCAGAGACCATGTTCGGGAGGACAGAAGCGAACAGCAACGCTGGGGTTTGGGGACGCTGGAAACGACGAAGCCGTCTTCTTGACAGGCTCCGTTCTGCCGTGTTTGCTGCGGGTTCTCGCGCCGCGTTTCTTCCCGGTGTCTCGATTTCATTTCCACCCGAGTAGCTTTTGTTGTTCCCGTGTCTGGAAGTCGCGTTTATCGCTTCCATGTTCCAAACCTAACGCGTCGAAACAAAATTTCAAAAAAACTGCCTCATCGCTTCCAGTGCCCAGCTGGATCATAGGGGGAAAAATCAAGCTGGCATCGTCGATGCATTACCAATCTATACATCTATATATATATGTGTGTATATATATATCTACGATACTGCAACCGCACGTTCCTGGGCGGTGTGGGCTATCGGGTTCAAATCAGCGATCAACCCGCGATGGGATGTCGATCTGAGCCTATCCCCCCCAACGTTGCCAAATAAAGAAGGAGGCTCGGCGGGCAGGCCTCTTCCGCCCCTTCGGAAACATCTTTCGCATGTCGTACGCGTCCTCCTTGTCCGCGTAGTATCCCTTTTCTATATCGTGGATCTCAAAGCCGAGGGTCTGCGAGTACAGGGTGAAAGCTGGAGAAAAGCCCGTCTCCGCTCGGCATCGGCTAGCGAAAGCAAGGGCTCCAAACTTCACGCTTCTCGCTGCGCGAGGTGCGAAGTGCGAATAACCTCGCGCTCTCGCGCCGCCTCCCAGGGGAGAAGAGGAGGCCGAGGAGGAAGCGGAGCCGAACCGCGAAGCGCGAAGCGCGAAGAACTTCGCGCCCCCGAGGGCGCCCTTGGAAAGCAGCTCCCTCGGGCGTGATGCCGAGTCGGACTGGCTCGGGCCCCCGGCCCCTCGTCTCACTGACCAGCCCTGCGCTGCTCAGCGTTGCGCCTCCCGGCGCCGGGAGGCGCCCATGTATCGAGGAATGGGCTCGGCGGCGGGACCGAAACCAGCTGCATGCAGCAGATTTCGTACCCCCCCCTTTCCCTATCCCCCCCCTTTTCGTTCGGCCCGAGATTGGGGGCGAAGAGTCACCCGTGACAGTGCAAGTCGAGGCGTGGGGCGCAGAACCGACTGGGGCGAGGAAGAGGAGGCGACGCAGGGGAAGAGAAAGCATGTGAAGACCAGCAGCGGCGAGCAAAGAGAACAGCCCGGCGAGGAGACGACACACGTTCGGAACTAGATTGCGCGTGCACAGCAGGACCAAGAAGAAGAGTGAGCGGAGGCCCGCCACCCTGATAGGCAGCGGGTGACGCTGTGTCCCCGGTTGAGCTCAACTGCAAAGAAGACATCGCACGCCGCAAAATCGATCGCCTCTGTTCCTGGCGGAGGTCTGGGCCGCACCAACTGACAGGCATGCTGCGAACCAAATCGCAAAACCAGACCACATCGGAAACGGTTGGGATCGCTGGCAGTTCCAGGTTTTCGCCCAGTGAGCGTTGGCGGCGCGCAGAGGGGGGCAGGGGGGTAGGGGGAAGGCTTCTTCGAAGGGGGCTGCTCCTCAGAAGGCGCCGGCCTTACATGTGTAGAGGAGGCCCGCGGCTTCTCAGAAGCAGGGGTGCTTCTGAGAAGCCTTCCCCCCTCCCCCTACCCCCCTCTGCGCGTTGCTGAGCGTCGCCGCA